CATTTGTCAGTTTCCCTTCTACCAAGTATACGACAGTTACGAAGAAACCTGATTTCCGTGTCTACTTATGATAGTCAGCTTTTGTTATTAAAGATACTTTTTGACTAATTATGTATCTGTAGCACTGACAAACTCAAATATCAATGCAATAAATGTCTAAAGAAACGCTACTAACTTTACAAGTGGGCTTTGCAGAGAGATTTAATTTGTGATAACTTTTAATATACTTCAATTAATTTTCACATAATTCTACACACTAATCAACAATCTGTCTATTTTTGATACCATTTCATTTGTTAAAGTTTTGATCGTGTTTAGAGTATTTTCTTTTTTTTAACTTGCATTTGTTAATCACGGCATAATACTGCTGTCGCTTGTTTTGTTTCAGTTTCACAGCTTATTACCAGACTTTCAATAGGTGATTACTGCATGTCGTACCTTGTTCAATAGTGTTTATTTTATATTTTCTTTTTCAACAATTCAACAGATGCTAAGATTGTACAATGGTGAAATTAAAAATATGCTGAAAGAAACAGTCGATTTAACATTGACAGATTTAAAAAGTAAATCTTGGGTATATGTTTATGCAACTGATCACTGGCTTCGAACTAGTTCTGTTTCCGGTTATTTAAGTAGTATGAAAAGTGAACTCTCCAACTTAATGATGTCAGCTAATGCGTCAGTATTCTTTCTTGCATTACGTGACTGGTTGTATCAGTTATCAGAATCATTACATCCAAAACTTTTCACACATGTATGGAAAGAAATTGCATCGCAATTAGATGATTATTTGTATAATGAGGTATGTTGTGACAACTTAATTCATCTATTAGTTGAGTTTGCCTAAACTGAGCCAACTTTGATTTTACCTCTATTCCTCCCATAATTTCGAACTTTGCACTTGTGACATAAATAACTAGGTGATGGATAGAGCAATATTGAATCTGGCTACATCTATGGATTGATGTGTTCAAATTATCTTTTAGGGAAAGTGAAAACAGCTGAATTAATCATGATGATGTGTATTACTCTACATTAATGTAGAGTAGTAGATTTTTATTGTTTATAGTTTAGATGGGAAAATGTACTCATATTTTCACCTATTACCGATTTTAAATATTGTCACCTATGTTGTTCAACTATCGGCTTTTAATATCGGTTCAGCCAGCTGGATAATGTCACTTGACCTCACACTTTAGGTTAAATACATTAACATGCACGTGGCAAAGAAGTAAACTAACTAACAGGTTTGTGAATGATTATCATAGACAAATTTAGGAGTATGTTGGTGAAGAGAATGGTAGATTAGATATCAGAACAAACTAAACTTCCTGTCACTATTTCAAAGCGTATGAATTCATAGAAATGTAATTATATATATAGTCACTGCAGCCTCTTTTTTCACTTTTGGTTCCTTTCCTTCCTAGAATAAACAGTCCACAATTTTCATGGAAATTATTCCATCTTCTACACTTGTTAATATCATGTTAGATACTTAGAAACAACAGGAATAATTATACCAAGGTTTTGTGCACCAATATCTGAGAAATGAGTTACCTCAAAAATTCACACATATCAGTGTTCTAGTCAGAGACACTGAACTTTTTATCTGCTCGACGTATTTATTATATACTTCCATATTCTTTCCGGCAACTTAAAATGACTTGAAGTTGTTACTACTTATCTACATCTTAAAGAAACATGAATTCATGTTTCCTGTCACACACTAAACTATAACGGAATTTTAGCTTTATAGTCAATTTTGGTTGTATAAGTACCAAAAAATAATTCGTCAGATACTTCAAGGCGAAAACATTCAGGTCGATCGAGTGTTTGTTTAACCAGTCCAAAATGACGTGGATATTAGGCAACTATTTTGTTCGTTCAGGCCCTAGGCTTTTAGATGTGTGCTCGGATCGATTCATCTTAAAGATTAGAACTGATAAAACAATTTCACATCTATTTAACTGTTGACCAAATTTACAAAGTTCACAATTCAGTAGCTAGGATGAAATCGCGTTGGAGTTTCACTTTCTAAACGTCATATGCACCTCTTACTCTACATTCCCCAAACACTTTCTGTTTGGGGACTCTGTCAATAATTAGACATAAGTGATATGATGATAGAATTTAAAGCGAATGTAATGTCAACAATTGATAATTATCTAACATCTTCATTTTTAATCTGTTTTCCCAACAGCTCATTCTATCAAATCGATTTAGTCCTCTGGGTGCTGCACAACTTCGTTTTGATCTTACTAACTACTTGTATCCAATGTTCAGTTTGTATACTGAACGTCCTGAGTCATATTTCTTTCAAATTCGTGATGCATGTGTTCTGCTAAATTTATTGCGTGGAACAGCCGAATTATTGAGAGAAACTATCATGGAATCAATGAATAGCCAACAGAAGCGTGATAACGATCCACTTGGGCCTTTACTTGAATTAGGTGTTTATAGACTAACTCCGGAAGAAGCCCTTCGTATTTTGTCCTTACGTGCCATTCCAGAATAAGAGATTTTTTGTATATTCAGAAATCTGACCTCCTAAAATGTCTTTCTTTCGCCCTTCTATGTTCTAGTTTGAAGTGCTTTACTTGCTCTCAGTGTGTAGATATAATTTCCTGAAAATATCCATATATAATAATTGGAGAACGTAACTTGAAGGTAATGTACTTCTGTTTATAGCTTGATTTAACCTTGAATAAGAAATACGTGTGAATTGTAATTACTATTTGGAACACTTTTGCTGTCTCTCTATTTCCAATCGCTTATAATGCGATCTACAATAAAAAACGTCTTATCTCTGCTATTTTTATTAATTGTCTCCCCTCCTTGCTACGAAGCCTGATTCTCAAGGGAACTAGAACAACAATTCGAAGTAAATTTCGTGAATTCATCTCATTTTGTTGGGTTTGTTGACCAATTTTATTAAAATTGGTCAGTCGGTCATAGTGAACAGAAGTACATGTGCATCTACCTGATGTCGATCTAACTTTATGCTACCTGAAGTATAAACTTAAGCATATTACCCGTCTCGGGACATATGCCCCCAACCAGGTATTTACACCTCCACTAGCCTTTCTAGTTGTTATCAAATGGATTGTTTAAACGATAGTGTTGAACTTATGACTTTAACCTTATAGCAGTGTTGTTCTTGCTTCGCCATTTCATACCTTCATATCTGCGTCAAACCCTCCTCGTGTGTCGATGATACTGCCCAGATACATAAAAGTTCTCACTTCTTTCACAGCTTCTCCATCAAGAGTGATTTGGTTGGTGCTCGCTGTTTTTACTTCAGGATCTCACTTTTTCCTTTGTGAATCTTGGAACCTATTTCTGTCAAAGCTAATTCTACACTGTGTATCTTCATTTGCATTTGTTCCTATGTATACGATAGAAGGGTTAAGTTATCTACAGATCCCTAAGTGTCCTCTGTATTCCATGCTTCTCCTGAGATGTGGAGGCTTTTATAATTTAGTCAACAACCAAAAGAAAGAGAGAGTAATAAGTCCCGAATGCTCCAAGTTCCGTCAGTTGCACTGGTTTATCCGCTTCTATTTTTCAAGGAGTATTACATCGGTCACTTTTAATTAAGTTTAACTGGATATTTTTATTCTGGGTTAAGGTTGAACCAGAACCTACGTAACTTAACACAAAAGTGGAATAATTATAACTTGAAAATTGTCAGAGTGTTTTATACAGAAATTGATATCTAAGCAACTTATGAACTATTTGACATTGTTTTGTGAAAGGCATCTTACTGTATCACATTACAGACATAAATAGGAAGTAATTTTAATATGATATCATCTACATCCGTCTTCATTAAGTCAGATTTTGGTCTACAAGGAAATAATGATTGTGACTTAGTACAATTTAATTAATAATTGCTTAATATTATTCTTGGAAATATTTAAAGTTTCTTGCAAATTCTGCTTACATCTACTAGTCTCCATCTACTTTGATCAAATACTTGATCTGCACAAATAGTTCAACCATTAAAACTATACATTACCGTAGAAAAAACAGAATTTTAATCATACTCTTGCTACTTTTTCGTATGGTGGTAGTTTTTAAAACATAATTCAATAACTAGCGTCAGTTGTTGTAATAGGATGTAATTTAATAATCCTTTACCACAACCTGGCGTTTACTATTTTTATTAAAAAATTGAGTCATACGTCACATAAATTGTTTCTGACGTTTCGTGACTTAATGTAAATCGATTCTTCGGAGGTTTACGTCAAGTCACGAAACGCCAGAAATGAAATATTCCTACTCATTGGGATATAACATAAATATATATATATATATGTTTTGGCAATAAATGCGCGGACTTTGCAACAAAGGTTTTTGCTAAAGCTCTAGAAGAAATCATAAGGTCTTAAGGGCGATTTAATGAAAATAATCCATTGAAGAAAATAGTAAGTGCATCAAACATTCCAGTAAAGACTCCAAGGTTAAGGAAACTGTCCACCTAATTTGATAAAAACATTTAAGGTGTGTGGTCTTTCCTACGTTCTGATCACCGATTCACTATATCGATTTTAAATTCTAATAAAAATGTCTGTTTACTCCATCATGTCAAAATATCTAGTTAAGATCAAATGCCAAATAACAAGGCAGCTGCAGAATCTATCTTGTTGGGTTTACTACCCACGTTTTAAAAGAAGAAAAAACATTAATGATACACTCAAATGTTTGTAAAGTAACGTTTCTATGAAGTTATTTCGTTTCTTTCTTGGATTAACTACGTATGATAATAAAAAGTCACTGAATAATTCCTGTTTTATTTAAAACACCAGTTTTGATAGAGTGAATAAGATAACAAGTTTCGATATGAAATATGATGAATAGAAAAAAATGAATCTAGAGGAAATAGGTATTTTACATAAAGGTAAACATTTAAAAAGTATCAAGAAACATTATGGACGTAAAGTTCAATCCAAAATTTCCGAATGATACTAGTTTAAATTATATTGGCCTGTGGGGTAAATGTAGGTTTTCAGGTTGATAAAACTTTATTTTTGTAAGCTTGAGTTATATATCCACATAAATATAGATATATGCTATTAGATGATTCTCTCAATGCATCTGTGTATTCATAAGACAGGTTATATTGTATTTCTTCAACGACTCGTTGTATACACACATCAATGTAAAATACTTGAACATATTTGAAACAAAAGAAGAGCTATCAATTCTGCATACTTTATGGATGTTGAGTTTTCTACTAAATACAAAAAGTGTAAGTGTTTATGTGTGGATTTCATGATCCATCAGTCGCATCACTTCGCAATTCAGTAATTTTATTACTCATAAATGTGAACTCATCAGATGGTGATATTGTTTCTAATTTATCATTTAATATATTTGTGATGACGCTTTTAGGTACCTCAGAGGTGAATTCTGTTTCGCAGTTTGAATCTAATTCAGTTCTGTAGAAATTACGAAAATAAAATGTAGAACATGGTTTATACGCACACATTCAATACTAAATGTTAATTATAATCGACTTTACTAGTTGAAAGCGCATGGTCAAACTTCTATGACTTCTCTTGGTAACCCTCAAATGAGACACTCTCGTTTAATAGTCTCACATTAATCCAAATCTGCTCACAATCGAATATGTTATCCTCTCTGACTACTGCAATGTTCTCATTTGTCGTTCAAATGCAGAGCTTAGAAGAGCCTTGTCAGTGTCATATGATTCTATATGTGACGTTATCCACCCGTTCAATATGTGTGTGATGCCCGGCATTTTAAGTTCATTTGGTAAATGAATGCTTTATTTAAGAAAGTGATTTTCACTCAACATTTCATTTGAAGAGTGTGAAGTTATCCACATAACTGTCTTCCATAAATACATCAAGGTTGTACATCCCAAGATAATGAATGAAAAATACAAGTATAGTGAATGGTAAGGCATCGATTGAAATCTTCAATCCATATTATTCATTTCTATACAGCACCCCACCCCAATAAATGAACGGAGAAAATACTGGATACATATACTTATTAACTCACTAAAAACGTGACAGATAATCCCACGATCTTATTGCGTCAAGTTATGTAAATCTATATGTTTATGTTGCCAGTTACTGAGTACTTCAATTACAGGAAATAAAATTACCGTTAACTTTTACTATTACGTTTATAAGTGTTATATAGAAATGATGGTATTCACTGATAAGGAATAAACTCAGTCGAATTGGATTTTATGAGTAATAACGAACTGCTTTGGACAGATCGCGATTTGATGTAACTAACTTATCTTTTAATTGAATTAATCAGATTATCACAATCGTCTGTAGTCCGAATGAAATACTTGCACATTATGGATAAACTATAAAGAAAAGGGTGAATACATAAAAATGATATCATATTATCAACAGAGCGTTAGACAAGGGTTGTGGTGTTTAGTCATGCCATTTAAATAAGAGCTGATTGTTATAATTTGTGGACTGCAGATTAGATGGCAGCGAATTATCGATCGGACCAAAGACGCGTTAAACACGTAAGAACGACCTAGAGTCCCGATTGGTCTCGCTTCCCTGTCTAGCCCAGCCATTTGAGTCCAGAACGCAAGTCTCAGCCTATGAGATATGAATCACCATATTTCAAACATACTCTGTTTATATACCAATCAAGCAGACCACATCGTACCACAAAATAGAAAATAACATTTGACACGTGAAATAAGTATTGACCAGTAGGAAGATGACACCTGGAACAAATATTGACCAATAGGAAAATGATACCATCTCAAGTCCAAGAATAACATTAGACTTAACAGGATAATTTTTGGGATATTTTTCTGAATATCCCAACACAGATTTTATTACCCCATGAATAATCTGTACACTTGGGTATACCATTATTTACAAACTGTTCTGTTTTAATTTATTCAGATAATTTAATTATTTCGTTTGTTTTCTGTCCCCTAAATTACTTCTTTATTAGTGATACTATGAAATGAAATTTTTTTGTCTTAATCAGACCGTATGTAACTGCGAACTTCTATTTTTAGACTCAGTGTCGCTGTTATACGACTTTTGCGGTTATATGACTATTTAATTCAAGTAACCACTAAAATCCAATTGTCGATGTACATTTATTTCAATCTTTATGATCTCTCAGACAATACACCACTAGTAGTTATTACGTTATAAGAATCGAGCTTATGAATTTCAATCTCTCCTCAAAGAACCCTAATCCATTAACAATAATGTTACATGGTTAATGGATCAACATTAACAACGTACAAAAATAATCTGTATTTAGTTAGTTTTAACTCAATATCTCATTTATTTGACAAATAACACTATTTAGGCCATTAGTTGAGATAGGATTTGCGAATCATGAATTCCTTTGCCTGGAAAATTATTAAAATCTCTTACTGTACATTAACATTTGTGTTCAGTTGATGTACAGAACCTCACTAAATAAACACCATTAATAGAAGCACACTGAATGAATTCAAAATAGTTCCGACTAATAAGTTCACAATATAATATATTGTAAAAAGTTATGATGACTACCTAGAAATTAATGGGGAATTCTAAAATTCATTCATGTTGTCATAAGAACTTCATTACATCATGCTAATCATTCGTATGATTTGCATTGTAATATTAAGTGAATTAATAATATCATCTTACCTATGAGAGTATTTTGAATAATCATCTTTTAATGTTTCAATATCCTCAATGAGATGCGTTTTTATGTTCTTGGCAGTAAGATATGTCTAAAACAAGAAGAGATATTTAATTGGAATCAATTTAAATGTTTGATAAAAATCAAATTATCTTTTGATTGAAACAAAGTCTTGTCATTTATAAGGTCATATAGTGTCTTTATACTGATAATATATCTATAATCTTGAAAGTAACATTGGTAAATTTAACAATATTCATTATATAATATGCTGTTTAAACATAAAAGAAAAAAATGCAACAAGATCACGATTTTAGATGGAATACTTGAAAAAGAACACAGACCAACATTCGTCCCTTTGTACTATAAATGAAATTCTATCAATCGTTTTTCATATGGATAATACTGAAGTTAGCCAGTGACTTCAATGCTATGTAAGATGTATAAGTTTAATGGGAGTATATAATGAAAACTAACTGCAATTGGAGCCCTCTCTGGGGTTACTGCCGGTCCCAAGCCCATATAAAGGAGGAGGGTTGTGCATGAGGTTAGCAACACTATCCCGTAGAAAACTAACTCGCTAAAAAAACTCTAGCCAGAAAAAACAATGAAACCTGTGAAAAACATACGATTCTGATTTGAATAGTGTTCTAAAATAACAATCGATATCAATGTAATATTATTGTTACTTCAATTAGTATTCAAAATGATACTATTTTTTAATTATATGTGAGAAATGTTTTGGAAATGGTATTTACTTTAATATCATCCTCACTAATTAAATTCACCTGATGTTGTTTTATTTGTATCTTCGATCGTTATTTAGGATTGCAATTGATCAGTCTCATGTTGGAGTATTTGAATCCTGCGCGGATTGCCTCGACATAGCCTTAAGTCACGAGCTTTTTAAGCAGAGATGGATAGTGGATAGCAGTGGATTGCAGGACGCGCGTTTCGTCCTATTTGGGACTTGTCAGCTGCATGTACCTGCATGAGTCTCGGAGTTAACATCAACTCTGGGATGCGAGTACATCCAGCTGACGAGTCTCAAATAGGACGAAACGCGCGTCCCGGATTTCAGTGCCAACCACTATCCATCTTTGCCTAAAGATCCTCATTAGTTTTTGTCTACCTACGTGGAAGTAAATAAAATAAATTGTTTAGTTGTAATTTTTTTCTATTTCCAAGTTTGTCGGTTTATATGATGCCAGCAGTTACATCGAGTGTTGAATAAGGTCAGTTAATGATTACATTCTGTTTAGATATAACATTTTTTGTGATTTAGGAAAAAAAACCGAAATTTCGCTCTACTTTATTTATTTGTAAAATTAGTTCAAGTAATTTGACTTATAAAAATATTCTACAAAGAATTATATCAGCTCACATGCAATTGAGTTTATTCACATTTAATATGGTTAAGCACTTTTGTTAACCCATTTAACGGACAGAGTCATTCGTACAATAAAAACTTAAATCATTATACCTTTATTATTGTTGCACTTATATGAATATGTATGTTTGAGCATTGCTTACAGCCTACGCATATACTCATTGTGCTAGCTTTACTATTAGTGGCTTAACTGATTCGATCATTCATTCATGTCACTATGTATATACATGTACATTTTATTCCTGTTCACTTGCTCGCTCATTCGACTCTCACGTTCACTCGCTGACCCTCTTGCTTTTCGGCACTACTCTTTCATGCTCGCTTAGCGTACCTGTAATTTTGGTGATCTCTGCGTGGTGTAATAATAAACTTAGTCAACACTACGGATTCGCCTTCTGATTAATACACCGTTGGGACGTTATCTAGTGACGGTTATCAGGACGAACAGTATACGAAGTTTAAGGATTACACTGAATATCGACCACCACAGAATAGTCTTGGTTAGTAAATCAACTGTTTAGATATTAAGGTATTATCCTTCCACAAAACGAATGAAAACTTTTTTCTGAAATAAAAATAAACTAATCGGTTATTTAAAACAGTTTTATGTCGTATTACATAAAATGAAGCATATGACAAGCTCTTTGGAATTATTTAATTAATATCTTAACAGGATTATTTTTATCAAAAGTGATTTACATTGATATAATACAATTACATATTTTTCATAACATTTTACTTTCACAAATCCTAAAGATACTGGGATCTATGAATACAAGATTAAATCAACTAACTATTATTGGCTTTCATCTCATTTAGGATCCTAAATATATATCCATTACAAAACAGATTTAAACTAAAACAAAATAGCCGTTCGCTATCATCTGGTTAGCATAAACATGTTTAGTTGTGATCCCCTTATAATGAAAATTAATCTCGAGATGAACAATTTCAACAAGCTCCGTATTCTAACATTCAAATTTTTAGAAAATTCTTTTTCTATGTAGTCATTTACCTGACTTCTTAAATCCGAATGCTTTTACTTGAAATTTTCATCTGTTCTGTGAATCCATGTTTCAAGAAATTACATTTATTTAATTAGTCTTGTATGACAGGCTAGACAGAATATACACCATATATACCACAGAATTTCTAAGTATTATTATTATTATTATTATTATTATTATTATTATTATTATTATTATTATTATTATTATTATTTAGTACTAACTCCTACTGTTATTTGCAAGAAAACAATGGAAATTAGTAAGAACAATAACCAATGCTTTTGAAATACACATCATGCTAAATTACATCGTGTTTGCTTATGATAGACACACTAAAGATACAAATAAATCAGTTTCTTTCTTTCCATATTATTAATTTTGGTTCATTTACATGTTCCAATTTTCGGACATCATTTTAGTACTAAGTTTATATTCGATTGTGTCCGAAAGCTAATACTCTAGTCATAAAAAGCAGAATAAATATATACATGTCTTAGGTTATTTATGACACTTACTTGCATACAAGTAAAAAAATATATTGATACTATAAAATCACGTATTATCAGATAGGTAGAATGTATTATAAAGATTGACATGGAGTAGAATAGCTGGTACATGTTTCATATTACACTTATATATTGGATAATGTAATGTATATTCATTGTTAGATTAAAAAAAGTATAACAATCTGTGACGGAATTTTGAAGAGTAACTGTCTATTTTTATATCGAACTGATTTACTGGCTAATTAGGGTTTTTATCAAGAAATGGGTTTTCAAACAAGACCAGGAACTGGCAGCTCTGTTAAACAGATACTGTTTAACAAAAATAATAAAACATTTCCGAATTCCAGAAGTTATATTTTCTGACATGCACCGATTAGTCAAATTACGAAGTACACTTAGTTGGTGTAAACAGTATACGGTTCTTGTACCTGTTTAATGATGGTGTACTTTATGAGCTGCATGATTTTGGTGTAAAGTTTCCATTGTTGTTCTGAATAAGCTCTCACTCGACCAGTTGTGTTCGAGTAGAGAGACTTTACAAGGTTAATATACTTCTTTGGTACTTCCTTCAGTGGCAAACACTGCCATGGAACCTCACGATCAACAGAGTCGAATGCCGCCTTAAGGTAAAGAAATACTACGATTGTGGGGCGTTTGAATGTGTGTCCATGTTCTGGGATCTAACTGTTTTTCTAGTTGTCCCTGAAAAACTTTTTCGCCGACGTACTTTTAGAGATAACACTTTCCTCATCTAAATTTCTAGGAGTTGAACTTCTACCGGGAGATTCACTTGTTGACTTAGAATGTGCTGATGACATAGTTCTATTTAAAGACACTGACAAAATGCAGTTTTCTGACCACTCTAAGCAACAATGCAAGCATGTTCGGGATGCGATTCTCTCCCTCGAAATGCAAAATGTTGCTTCAGGATTGCGTTGCATTGACACCCGAACTAATGATAGGGAGTGAAGTAATTGAGCGTGTCGATCGCTTCATTTATATTGGAAGTCTTATCAGCCCTTGTGGTCTGGTGTGTGACGAAATCTCAGCACGGATACAGAAGGCTCGACTGGCTTCTGCCAACTTGCGTCATTTATGGCGTAGGTGAGATATCCGTCTATCAACCAAAGGACGTGTTTACTGCACAGCAGTTCGTTCCGTCCTATTTTATGGCAGTGGAACATGGCCGGTAAGAGTAGAGGATATTCTTAGTTTACTAGTATTTGATCATAGGTGTCTTCGAAATATTGCTCGTATATCATGGGACCATCGAGTAAGTAACGCAGTTGTTAGGAAACGGGTACTAGGTAAGGATGGCAAGTCAATTGATGATGTAGTGAAACTTCATCAGTTGAGATGGCCGGGACACGTGTTACGTATGCCCAACCACCGACTGCCTCGATGTGCGATGTTTTGTTGTATAGGATTAGGTTGGAAGGAAGCTAGGGGTGGCCAGACAAAAACATGGCACAATTCCATGAAGTCACTGACAAGTAGACTGAGTCATATTGGTAGGTGTAGACTACCTGGTTGGGGACCGCGAGATGATAGCAACCGATGGTTAGAGACCCTGAATGACATGGCTCAAAATCGTTTGCAATGGCGCTGGTGCATACACTCTTTGTGTTCTCCCAAATTTTGATCTCCTTGTCGCTTTTTTTCTCTTCCCAAATTTATTTCACTATATTATACTCTTTGAATAACATCTCCAAACACTAATTTTCCCGATTACTGCTTATACTCTTATTGCCTCTACCACTACGGGATTTGAATCGACCACTGCATCTGTGTGCTAATGTGGTGTGGCAACTCGAACTGATGTACGTACGTACGAAGTTCTATGTTGTTACTGACTGACTGACATCATTATTTTAAAGTCTTACTTCTTTAAGATGAATCTTTGTGTTATGAAACTATCCGAAAGTTAACTCAAAACAAATCGCTTGTTAAATACTCTGATAACTAAGCACCTTGAATTGTCTCTTACATACTACCTATATCACTGTTTCTTTCACAGCTTGATAGGTAATGAATAGACGCTCATTCACCAATTAAATAGAAGGCTAAATTAACACGAAAACAAAGCCATATGGATAGATATGATTATTTGTCAAATTGAAAGAATCAATTTTACGAAATCCAGGTGATAGGAATGCAAAAAACATTATATATGAAAATTATGCTTGAAATAATCTTAATGACCCAAGTTAAAGTGGTTTAAGAGTTTAGTCCAGCAAACTATTTCGAGCTTTCATAGTCAATATTGTTATCTCCCTTTTCAATCAATGTTGAAATCTTATTACGCAAACCAAAGGTCAAAATTTTAATTACTTACATTAGTGAAATTGTATGTACTTATTTATCATAGTTACCACCCATTAAATCCTCAATATTTTATCACCTTAGTGTCTATGTGTTACACCTAGTTGGTGTATATTTTTTCCTTCTTTCATTCCAATTATATTCTTTACTAAATGTTGAATAGATCAGATGACAGAAGAGTACGCTCATGATAAATACAAGGCCAAAACCAAGATATTTTTATCTTGCAGTGATCACAATATCTTTAGACAGGTGAGCCAAAATTCAAAGGTCCTATTTCTCGACTTTTGATGATTTGAAGTGTAGGGTCGCCATCGTTCAGTGGAGTCACTGACAACTGTTTGAATCTCCATATGACTTGTTTCAAATGTGAAAGACACTAGAATATTGGGAGTACTTTTAAAAGCCTATATGTTATCATTATTATTATTTAAATGAGTGGTTCGTGAAAATTTGTTCAGGCTGGAATGAGTTAATCCTCCAGGGTTATCAACGGTTCTCAAACTGAACTAATTCAGTGATAAAATATGTCTGAACAAACCAACTATCTATAAATAGACGACAAATAAATTTAATTTGAATTTCATGAATATAAGTAATCTACTTTGCAATTGTTAATTATGTCAGTTTGTTGAAGTGATAGTTTGGTAAGTAGTGAATAAATAAACAAAATATACTTAATTTATTTACCTCAATATTCATACGAATTTACATGTATTAATGAACCTACTTTATATTCAGATTTATCTTTTCCTATACTCATTTCTTCTAATTGATGACAAAGTACACTACGTTCGTGTAACATAAAAGATAAACGACGCTGTAATAAATCTAGCTGACAATCTCTTTCAGATAATTGTAATAATAAATCCTCGACTGATGTTTCTCTATTTTCAATCTAGAAAACAAAAAGAAGTTTGTGAAAATAGTTGATAATACTTATATAGTTTTTTTAAATCAAAATAATTTTACAATCACAGTGTTAAAAACTGTAAGAAATTTAACGAGCTGACATTTAAGTATCATCAACATCATCATCAATATAATTTAGTGAAACCGCAGTTCAGTACTTATTGAACAAGATTCAAGTTATCATTATCGAATGAATATAATTAACAAAACGTTTTGTAAGGTGTTTCTGGGTAAACTTAATCTATCACGTCGGTTAATTAGGATACAGAATAAACACACTAATATTCTGATAAAAGCTCGAATGTATTATTGAAATACAAAAATTAACTAATATGAAAGATAACAAATGAAAAGTATGTTAAGAAACGCTTACTAACCAATGAGTACAAGTTGGTCCTTTAGCAACAAAAATTTCTTTGAAAGTTCAAAAACGTTAAAATATTGTATCTTTTATGTAAATATTGAAAATCAGTTCTTATTAAATTTGCATGAATTTGTACTAGAAAGCTAACAGATTACTTAAATTTGATTAATCTAACTCATGAATAAACTCTTCAGTTAGATTCTTATTCAAGCAGTGAGTAGACAAGAACTTCTAGAATCTTATTCCTATTCGAGACACTTTTACTACTTTTAAAAACAACCAGAGTTTCATATGACAATGACTTGTAATCGTCAGGAAATCAATTGTAATGTACTATTGATTGATCAAATTCTTCACTTTTCATAATGTATAGAATTTTGTTTTTGAAATCATAATTCTTCACTTCGATAGCAAAAAAGCTCATAAGTGACCGTCAGTTTGTAGGAATACTTTTCACTATTAAACAGTTTACAACTGTTTTCATGATTATGAGCTAAGATGTATCGTGGCTAGCAGTGGAATCAAAGAATTGTGTTTAGCCCTATTTGGGACTTGTCGGTTAGAAGTACCTGCATCACACAGTTGATACTCACTCCGGGACTCAAACCCATTACCGTTCGCTTCAAACACCATCGTGTTATCCACATAGCTACTGAGTCCTGATGGACACTTGTGCAATGGGGAGAAGTTTAAATTCATTTTGTGTTGTTTGTTTGAATCTTTCCTCTGATGTTCAGGTCTGTAATTGATCATTCTCTTATTGGCATATATGAATCATGTACGGATTGCCTCACTATTGCCTTAAGTCGCAGGTATTACAATACCAAATGTACCTTTATGATTATAATATAGAAATAATCAAAAAAATTGTTTTGGAAAATCTAAATGTATAACAAACTAGCATAAAATGAACTTTGTATTGTCTTGAAATACTTGATGAAATGTGTTTTTAAAATATGAAAAGGAAAGAGTCACAGATTTTCGCTATCAAGTTTTGTTCTTACTGATAACCGGTAAACAATTATTCCTGTTATGAAATTAATGTTATTAACCAATAATATTGAAATTAAGTATGATTAAATCTGTTTTTCTCGTTTTATTATGTATCATGTAGGAAAGTTGAAGGAGATCTGGTTAAATTATTTATCTTAATATTTCATATTTATTGAGAACGATAAGTTAAAAATACGTTGTACAAGCTGTACAAGACCTGTTATGTGTGTGTGTGTGTGAACATTTACTTCATGCTAATCAGTGCAAGTTGTTAACATTAACTTTGATTTATTCAGAAATTTCATCACTGAATAAAGTAAGCAAATTAAGCATCAACTAGTCTAATTCATTAGCTGGGTGTAAACGTTTTACCTAACTCCAAGTCTAACTTGTTATGATGACAGGTATTAATGTGATCACGAGATTATGACCTTATTGAGACAGTTAGATAAGAAATATAAATTGTAATTCAATGAGCAGAAATAAAATTTTTGGACTAATCAACCATCCACTCACAAATTATTTATGTTACGTAATAAGTAATCAATCTATCAAGCTATAAGTTGAATAATAAATATAGATTTTGCTATATCCTAATGAGTAAAAAATTGTATTTCTGAGGTTTCGTGACTTAATATAAGTCATTTCTTCAGAGTAATTAAAAAACGATACCCATAAACTTAAATGCTGGATAGTTTTCTGATAATATATTTGTACATTTTTGTAATTACCTCTGTACTAAAAATTAAGCTTGCTTGGAGAACGGATGAACAACATCTCGTTTGTAATTTCTCAATCGTATACATTCAATGTAAATGAAAAGCGCTGTTCAGTGTTATTCTTGGCTCTGAATCATTCCCCTAACAATCTATAGTTAGAAGTTATATTATTTAAATAATTTCATACTTCACGAGAAAAACATTTATTTATAACAACGTAAACATTAAACAACAAGTAAAGAAATATTACTAACATTTTGTTTGCATGTACCACACTCAATATTTTCATTTGATGCTAAAATAAATAGAAATGAAACAAATAAGAAGAAATAGTAAACGTTTAAAGTACAAAGCAATAAATTACGTGTAATATGTTATGCTATTATATATATATATATATATATTGGTTGAGGGTACTCGGAAGATAAATTAACTCCGAAAACTTACTGCAACCAACAATAAGTCATTAAAACTAAAAAAGAAAATTGTAAATTGATCAATTCTGATTCGATTAACACAAAAATGAGTGCATATGACAACAGCTATTGCGTAATCACAAGTATATATATATATATATATATATATATATATATATATATATATATATATATATATATAATCCGACGATACACATTTATCGATATGAAACCTTCTAAATTCCCAAAAGCATATTCGCAAATCATCACTAAGACTTATTGAATAAACTTCCATAATTATTTTATATCAATAACCATTATAAACAACAGTGAATAAACTGATTATTTTGTACTAACTAGGGCAACCCATTTAAAAAACTGAAATGGGTAAATTCTAGTCAACAATTGAGTAATTCAACATTTTAGTTTCTAATCAATCTTATAAATATATTCAGTGATAAGTAATAGTCTTGAAAACAGTCATTGTTGTACTCAGTTTAATCACTTGAACATATTTCTACTGAAGGAATAAACATTATAAATACGATGTTTTAACAGTTTATTGATATGAATGATATAAATGTTTTCAAAAGCAGACTAAAAATTTGTAAACATTTATCACATCGCCAGTTGTTAAAAATGGAGAATGCAATCGGTCATTCGTTGACGTTTGAAATCATAGGTACATAGTGTGACTTTTATTATGAATATCAGCAATGGATTTTGGATACATCTAGTTGGTTAATCGCAAGGATTGATTTCATTTCAAATCGATATCGGTATTACAACGATTAGGAACCAATAATTTGGTTATTTTCTAAAAGATAATAGTATAGACCAAAAAATAAGAGCTGTTATCTCCATCAAAATAAGAATTCGGAAAATATTGACCTCTGAACTACAACAGTGCTCAGGTTCATTTCGATAACTTGAAAAGTAAACAAGAATAACGCTGAATTATCTTCTCATTTCATCTGGTTCTCATCAGATGCATATAGTCGGTAATACTTTAAAATCAGAACTTAAGGTAAATTTCAACCTAATTATAAGAATTGGGTTTATGAAACATTGTTAACATGAATATACATCAATATGGTGTAGCAAAAGTCTAATAAATATAGCAAATAAATATCATGTTTAAAAAAACGTTCTGAAACATCACCGAGGATAGTGCCAAAAGACTATAGCCCTGAGATTTTAACCAGTTGCACAACGAAATAATCTTGCTGATCCATCATTGATGTTATCTAAAATAACTCATGAGTTTTGACCGAAGTCAAGTAAAATATTCTCACAAATGACCAAAAGATTCTATAAAACAACAGAATGTCTATGTATAGCTAGTCATTTATTATTTATTATTATTTATTATTATTATCATCATCAGCTTTATTCAGTATTATATTTTTGGTACAATATAGAATTCTCAGCGTAAAGTATTTCAACAAGTTTCCGTTTCTTTCTTCTTGGTCGGTCCGGGCGATAAATATTGTGTGATCGCCAGTTAGATGTTAGCAGTTCAGTAAATGAACATCTGAATAATGTGCATTCTTTTCGCTGTATATTGCCAGCAACCACATTGGCTCTTATTGAGTTTTTTGTAACTTTGACAACGAAAGGTTGTACACTTTTCAGAAAGGCAGCAGAATAGGTTATGCGATTAATAAACATAATGATATATTAAAACAAACAAAAATAGATAACTTGTTGAAATATCTAGATGGCAGGAATAGGTAGCCCAGATGCTCAAGCAGGCCTAACAGTTTTCTAACTAATACCAACTTCAAACAATCGATGACTTCCTACAACACAAAAGTAGTTGAATCAAACAGTATTCTAAAATATTATTTGACAGAAAACAAAGTGCATTCAGATCTCTCTCTGAACAAAAATACAAGCTAGGAAAGTAGTAGAGAAAACTGGTTTTCAACATAAATAAATCCTATGAAGGTCATTAGTGGTACAGACAGTTAGGTATAATATGTTACTGTCGTTTTTACACCATACGCAGTATAACCAATAATCATAATTAGGATCGATTAAACTACCATGCACCAATCGACTATTGTGACAGATAAAACAGAAAGCATTTTTCTTCATCAAATATCAGAGAAGTAACAAATAATTCGGTAGTAAATAGGAAACCGCAATTATTCATGCATGGATATGTATAAAATAAACGAAACGTTTTACTAATTGAATAAAAAATATATGAAATACTTTATTATTTCTGCATTCCAGTTGTATATTTCTACTTTGAACAGATTTACAAAATATTAGTTAGATCAGTACACTGTAGCAATTATAAATCAACTATGGCCACAAATATGAATTGAACATCCTTCATTAGGCTGTTAATTTATTAATGACCAGAAAGAATGTCAATGTTGTGTCAGAAGGAAGCTATCAACAAGTCATAAGTTCAATTCATGTTTAATAATATCTATTAAGCATAATGTAAAAAAAATAAGCTGAAAAAATCCGCCGAATATATACAGAGCCCTGTCTAAGGAGGCATTTAGTCGTTGATTGATATTACTACTGAAAAGTGGCTATTCTATGAGCTTAAGTAGTATGATTTATCAGTTTTTCATCAGAATATGAGCTGATTGAATGCAACAGCTCTAAAGTACTTTGATCTACAAAAGCTTGAAACATGAAAATAATCAATAAAACGACAATTGATAAAACCACGAGTTTGCTTTTTTATACAACAATCGTGGATAGTAATATAAACTATATAATTGAACTCCTTTTCTGTGGGACAGCCATAGATGTAGAAGCATTCAAAACTGCGAAGCACTAGAGAGTTGTTTCATCTTAATGTGAGATTCGTTGGCATCTTGTACTTATAACTTCATTTTGGATCGAAGCCAAGACGTTCACGTCTTATGGTGAACATAGGATATTTGGATGTTGAGTAGCAAACTGAATGATCCATATTTCCAAAGTCAAAGAATTCGTGAAATTATACGACTGTCATCCAGTCCCATTAGTTATGCCTGACTAATTATTAATAACCTTGAATCAACTGGATTAAGCCTTTTCTTAGGAATTATGGAAATTTATTTAGAAGTTAGTCATAAGTTGACACATTACTTGGTTGTATAGATAAGCTCAACTTTGAAACTGTGTTACCCATCAAATGATGTGAGATAAAATGGATCATGAGCACTTCAGAACTGTCAAATCCTAATTTAAAACGTTTAAGCAGTATGTATTCATCCTCAGAAGCTTCAAGTCTGGTAGTGAGAACGTTATCCTTGAAACCCCTAAACGTCAAATCGAAAATTCGATATTCCCAATTAATAGGAAATTGTGGCATCCTTGCTAGTCTTTTAGTATCAACTATCAAATAAGACTAGTCGCTTATCGTAGCATGTATTAAGTTAGTATCTGTGATACTGTAGCATCATGAACAATGAAAGAATCTTCATATTATTACTGATCATGCTTTATACATTACCATTCAATGCATATTTTCTATTGTTTACCTTGTGGTCCATAATTATTTGTACAAGAAATCGGATCAGTGCGTTCATCATGTTGATTATCTCGAATACACCATAGATTAGAAATTTCTTTTCTTAAAAGATCATTTTCTTGCAAAAGTAGAAAATTTTTATGCGATAAAATTTTACACTTTGACCAATGTTTAGTATTCGATTCAAACAGATGGCGAATCTGTCGTAAATGAGAAAAAAAAGAAACCAAAAACATTTTATTCCATTGTGTATATTCAATTGAATAAAAATGGATTCATAATGTATACGAAATACTCAATTCATCACTCAGTAATTTATTTTTTCATGTTACCTACCTTTTACTCTCTTTTAATCTTCCACTGTCTCTATGTTCTTTTGAACCAAAATTTAACTCGTAATGCAAAGTACCATTATCAATAGTCTCAAGTGAAATCTATTTGAAATTGTAACTATTGACGCTAAGTACTAACTAAACATAATAGTACTACGTTATTTGTTGTGGATGATTTAATTACGAAGCCTATTGGGCAAGATTGTTGACTATTATTACAAGCAGAACCGTTGAATCATTCTTATCTAAAAACAGTAACAGTGATTGATTATATTCAGAGATATTTGTTATCTTCATATGTGTTTCCATCCTTATTGACTGTTTTGAGAAATTAATCTTTGACAATTTGAATAATAGATATTTATTTTACAGGTAAATAGAATGGCTGTATGTCAAGACGCGTCTGTTGACTGACTCCAACGAGTTAATTTAATTTAAAATAGGCAGTGACAAAATAATCTAAAGCAACAGTGTGAGTCGTCGCCGAAAAAATTCAGATCACACAATACATGACTAATAAAAGTATACATTACAGTTAAATATTTCCATCAATTTCCTTAGCTAATCTGTTCCCTACTATAATACGCCGAAAGTAGTGTAGTGAACGAAGACTTGTTGGTGTTAATCAAATCATTGTTTTACGTAAAATTACAGAGCGTCTTGGTAAAATATAAAAACTATGGACTAAATACAATATTTGCACATCTTCAGTTGTCGTTTAGATGCTTCACGACTTTCAATTCTGTTGTTACTGCAATTACTTTCTGTTTATATTCTCATCAATTATACCTTCTCGATCATCTACTTCCAGGCATTTCACTTCTGATTGGTGCTACATACTACTTACATCTGTCAACATAAGTAGCACACACCACAGAATTATACAACTCACAAAATCTTTGAAACAATTCTAATCATTTGTTGTTACAATGTGCTTATAATCGCCAATAAATCAACCATATTATTTTTGATTGTGAATCTATTTAATTCCTAGACAAATACGTAACTGTCGAGTTTTTTTTTACCTACAGTCACTTATTCAAGAAAACTGAGTATGACAGCTTCAAATTTTATGAGCTTAAATTTCATTTTAAAAATACACATAAACAAGTGTAGAAAAGCAGAAAATTATCACTCTACATTTAGTCTACGTTTTGATACTGAACTTATATTTTTTTGAAAATAGTTTTTGTCTCAGAATAAAATCAGCTGGTGAATCGGTGGAGAATCAGTGAGGACTAAAGAGTTATTTCATTATCATTTGTGAAACTTTAGAAGTTCAAACCTACCAGACCATACATTAAAGACTGATTTTAAATGCTCATAAGTGAGTAGTTCAAAATCACAACAAAAGTAGCCGTCTAATGTTCCCATAATCTTCAACGGTTCTTTTGTTGTTGTAAGTCCGTTAAGTAACTTATCCTTATGATTAATTGGTCACTAGAAATCATCTAAATAAACAACTTTTTGACGAATGATTTAAGAATTTACCCAGTAAAATAGTGGGTTTTACAAATATACCGGACAAAACTTAACTCTTTAATCAGTATGTTTAACAATGATACATTACTTCCCTGCTGTTGCTATAATAACATTAAAACCGTACTGATCATAAAGTTATTTGCCATTAATAACGCTAGATCATACAAGACATAATCGTTCCATTCTAGTGCGGCGTAATATAAATAAACTCTAGCTAAATAATGAGCTCTTTCACAAAATTACCATTAAGGAATATTGTTTGATTGTCTGATGACACAACCTAATAAATGAGTTGAAACACAATGAATGACAATCTATGATAAGATTATTTTACGAATTATGACAACCTCCTAAGTACCATTTGTATGTATTAAACCTCTAGTTACATGTTGCGAAGGTTATATGTAAAGCGATCAGTAAGAAAATTTGAAAATATACTGGATGAATAAAATAGCTAGTTCATGTCTGCGTAACTTGTTTTCATCAGTCAAAGTAATAGTCAATAAAATTCATCTGAACAACATCATTCCCATAAATATTATATGTTAACATGTTATACGTATAGTGCTTATTCACTGAAAGATTTTTACCTATTCATGTCAGTCAAAGAAAAAATCTATACTTATAAGCACCGGAAACTAATGCATCACACCCTCAGATACATAGGGGTTATTTCTAGAATTCAGCACCCTATCCTGCTAACAGTTATTCGCTTAAATATACTGTTTTTCTCTTAAAAACAACCTAATGGCATGGGAAACAATCTGTCTTTTTTCTACGAAGCAAAAGACGACAAAATCCATGCTGATTTAAACAAACACTATTCATTCTCTGTTTCTCTATCCTGATTTGTCCTTATACTTATGCGTATACATGTGTATGTTTGCGTTCATCACAATTTTGTGTCCTGTTTATTTACCAAACATAGATGGAAAATTTTTTACCATCCCTTTTTTTAAACATTGACTTTCAAGAATTAGTTTAATACTGACAAAAATTTAACTAGAACAACACATGAAAGCAGACAATATTGTTTTTATTTAGATCACCATCAGGCTTTATTTTGGCATGAACAATATGCGTATTACTCTTCACACCACGAAACTGTCAGATGGAGAGTTTGAAACTTAGTACTTCTGCACAAACCAGTTGTTAAGAGAAATTTTTAAGATGTCTTTAATTTCATTATCAAAGTGGGAGACGTAAATGTTTGTAAAAAACTTATGGCTGATTTAGATATCGTACCTTTATTCACCAATGTTTCACAATTGAGTTTAAATGCAAACAAAATTTAACATTGGCTTCCCTGAACATAGTCTTGCAAAACTGCTTTTCAGGCATAAGACGAATGTCCACTTTCTCGTCGACAATATTTATAATAAACAATTTAACTGAACATCTACGGCTTCATCTTTGAGCCCGATTTCAGTTACTTTCTTTCTAACCAAACTAGAGAGTGGAACCCTATAGGAAGTGAACGAGAAATTCGATTTACACCTTCATTATATCGACGATATAATTACCATTTTCTATATGAATATCAATAGAGAATTCTTGAGTCAATTCAACAATGTAGATTCGAAGATCACATTCACCTGTGAGAAAGAATTTGACAACACATTTCATGTTCTCAACGTCTTAATAAATCAATGACTTGTTAAGCAAAAGCGTGTATAGAAAGAGATCCTCTGTGTGTAGACGCACGCACTTATTAATCTTACACTCACTCTTTATGAAAAAAATATAGTTAGATGACTTACAAACAGAGCAAATATAATCTGTTCAGACGGCACCGTAAAGGAGTTAGAGTTCATCAACGATATGTTGGTCAAAATACGACACCCTTAGGTCCTTTTGTAGAAGCACGTGAGTACAGTGAATAAGAAGTTTAATATTTATCAATAGATCAGAAGAAATTCCTCTTTCTAACAATACACTTCTACTTGGATGTAGCTAACGATGTCTTAGATAATAGACTATTGAGAACGGTTGAACAGAATTTCTATCCAGTTAATCTTCGTCGTCTTCCAGCCGACTACTGATATTTATTCAAACAAGGGACATGACGTTTGATTTCACATCTTAGATGTGCATCAACACGTTCACTTGCTACTGTGGAGAACATTATATTGAGCATAACACTAATAAACTTAACCAAACAATTAATGAATATCGCTCTGCATGGTTTAAAAACGGTCAAATAAAGACAAGATATAGCTTTATTTTATTAACAGTCGTCATGTATTTGGTAAAACTAATGCATTCCAAGTAATCACCTTAATAAGTGGATTTGACCTCGTCTCCAAAAACATGCTAGAAGCTGTGGGGATTCTGTTGTGACGTGTGACTGCAGATTTAGATGCGCAGCGTATCTATCGATCGGATCAATGACACGTAAAACACGTACGAGCAGCCTAGAGTCCTGATTGGCCCTGTTTCACTGTCTAGCTCAGCCAGTTGAGTCCAGAACACAAGTCTCAGCCTCTGAGATATGAATCATTATATTTCAGACATACTATGTTTATATACCAATCAACCAGACCACATCGTACCATAAAATAGAAAACAACATTTGTACAATATTTGACAAGTGAAATAAATATTGACCAATAGGAAATGTCCATTTAGAGTCCAAGGACACTATTAGACTTAACATGACAATTATTGGTATATTTTTCTGCACATGCTAACAGATTCGAACTAACAATCCCAATCAATTTATTTAGAAGAAATCGATATCTTCTTTGGTTGGATAAGATGATAAACAGTCTAACTAATTTCTTCGTATTCTTTGCTTTACTTCGCCGCCCTTTCGCATATCTTCTTCACTATCTGATTAACTGCATGTTTACTACACCAGTTTGATAATTTTAATTTTCTTCAACTATTTTCTCAAGTTTCGACCTACTTTGCACTCCCAAAAATTTCTTTAATTTTTTATTGTTTCTTTTATTCTCATTACTACCAGTACACTTGTTTTTTTACTAACAATTTATGATGAGGCTATAATTTATAGACGACTTTCGAGCGATGCTTAAGTGACCTTTACACTGCCAATGTCCATCTACTCACCAGAAATAAATGTGGGTTATATATCAGTATGATGAATTGAGACTATCATCTACAGTTGATGGTTAGGAATAATATTTAGGGTGTTCATCACAAACTGACACCAGCTAAAAGGCCAAGATAATAGTTAGCCAAATGGATGAATAAATTTTCTGCCAAAATCCAAGATCTTTTGTGCTAAACCCGATTATAGCTTCGCCCAATTTATAGTTTTCATTTATTCTGTTTATTTATGTAATTTGTCTCAATGTTATCGCTAACTCATTAACTTCCTTGATTGATTTAATATTTTCATATATGCATATAAATATTACGGTTTATAAGAGTAAAACTTATTGAGGATCTAAATGGAAACCATATTGTTCACTTTTATGTGTTATTTTTAATTTAAAAATTTACATTTTTCTTAACCTGATTTGATCATTTTGAATATCCAATACTTTATATATATGTAATGAAGACGATTCATTTTTTGATGTTAATATTTTAGGAAGAATGTGATCAGTGACTATCGTAGCATATGAACTTCATGAAAGGATACTTCAATATTACTGCTCAAAATTTTCCACACTTTTAAAAAATTACTTACCTTTTTAGCTTAAATAAAATGTTTTCTTTAAATAAAAAAGGCTTTAAAATGCTTCTAATAATCCCTGTAAAATATCTATGCGCAAATGGTCTAACATGAAATTTACTCACAACTGATTGATCACTGGGTGGTGATCAATGTCATGCTTGTCCAGTCCTTATTAGTGCAGATCGAATGCTATCGATCATGTTACAATGTGGCCACCAGTCTAGGTGACTCGACACTGCTCGGATAGCTCAGTGGTAACGTCTCTGACTGTGAAGCTGGGTGACACGAGATCGAATCCGCCAGGGAGAACCAGTTCCCTCAAGATTACAGGTACACCTTGCTGACGAGTGCCAAGTAGCACGAAACCCGGGTCCAGGGTTTCCTGTTGACTACCTCCAACCACCATCTAAATCTCAATACATAGTGCCCGCAGTGTCGAGTCACCTAGACTGTTAGCCACATTGCAACATGATCGATAGCATTCGATCTGCACTAATAAGGACTAGACAAGCATGACATTGATCACCACCCAGTGATCAATCAATTGTGATTACATCTCAGTCCTACAGGAGGTTAGTCACGGCTCGGATAGCTCAGTGGTAACGTCTGTGACTGTGAAGCTGGGTGACACGAGATCGAATCCGCCAGGGAGCATCAGTTCCCTCAAGATTACAGGTACACCTTGCTGACGAGTGCCAAGTAGCACGAAACCCGGGTCCAGGGTTTCCTGTTGACTACCTCCAACCACCATCTAAATGAAATTTACTTTATTAGCTAGTTAATTGATTTCGTATCAACTGCTTACAATATTTCATAGTCAAGTATCACAATAACCGGTAAAATTAGCCACGATTTAATTTACTAGAAATGAAGTTAATTTCTCATTAACATGAACAGTTATCAAATCAGTGCTTTTTTATTTCAGATTTATTGAAGAAATACTAAGCACTAATTGATATCCATTATGAACAAAACTTTTAGATTCCAATTTAATAAAAAGAAAAATGAATACATTAATCAGAAATCATAATGATTTACCTCCTGTTCTAAATTCATACATTGATTCTTCCACCAACGGATTGTTGAATACAATTCCAGTAATTGTGCTCTTATAGGCTAAGAATTGAAATAGATACGCAAAAATACGTAGTAGTAAATAGATGACTATATTTCTTCAAAAACGTCTAATTTATTAAAAGTTTTCTTTCAAAACAAGAAACTTTCAAGAGCATGTTCAATAGGTTGGCTATCAGAATATGAAAGCAATACTGAAACCTTTTTATACACTTTCGTAGAATTAGTATAAGCAACTAATTGAGTTACCGAGATTACTGTTTAACTTCTTAATAAAAAGATAAATAAATAAAAATGAAATGATAATAAAAGTATTTGACTAGATAAGTTTTTAAGCAGTATCAGATAGTTATGTTCCGATTAGTCTACAACCACACAATAGTATGCACCTATGAATCCATATAAAATTGAAGTCTGGACTTTATAATATTATGGGAACACTCGCATGTAATTTTAAATCCGAACTAAATATATATTTTTTATGGTCTTTTGTTTATAATAATTACATAGTTGATACTTATCCGTGATGAATATCAGCTTTATAATGAACAATCTTCATATTCCTTCATCCAATCGTATCTAAACAGTTTACACCGGTATTCAGAAGCAACTAATCGAAAAGGCTGTGGAAGTTTTTCTGAACATGAACATTGAAACCCATACCTGAAATAAAACAATAACTTTATAAGTACGATCATCAGGTACTTTGTCGTTATTGGACTAAAGCAGATTTCATCAAGGCTTTAGAAATAATACACAAACATCAAGTATACCTTACAGGGCCCATTGTCATCAAATATTTCCAACTAGACTAGTATATACAGAAGATACGGTCAACCTGCCTTTGTCTTGATAAGAAAAATCAAACTAAATAAATTTCATCCATTACATAAACATGTTCTAATCTTAATTGCACTGAGTAACATTGTTTTCATGCTTTTTACTAACTTTTCATCTTCCCTTCGAACTTTTTCTGCAACTTCATTAACTAGAGTTTCCCAAACTTTTACTTCTAACTATGTTGGTCGTTTATATCGCTTTCTTTTGATGACAGGCCATTAAAAAATAATTTATTTTATGACAAATTGTGCTATTCTTGCTCAAATTGAAATTTGATCACTTACATTACTGTACAAATCTCTTGGCAATTGATTTTAGAGTAAAACCCTGAGTGAATAATAATTGAAATATAAAGCAACAAAGTAAAAATACTTGAATAATTTCACTCAAAATTAAGAGAGAATGAAATTAAAATGTTACACTGGGAAGAGATTTGTTATAAGTAGTGACCTAATAGGCTTTCCAATGAATCTTTCTTTCCTATCAATTTGGAAAGCCATCGAATTTTTAAACAAGGTGTGTGCGCTTGTTTTATTGAAAAAAAAACTACACGTGATCATAAAACCAGTTTATTGAAGCTATCGAAAACCGAGTGAATTTATCGAGATTTTCTAGTTTAATTTTTATTATACGATGATATCAGATAGTTTACATAAACTAAAATTATTTTAAAGTGTATTTCGATTAACTTTGAAAATTACTAATATGACAAAACTTCAGTCCTTTTTGAGATTGAACCAGCATGCTACTAATAGCCAGGACGTGTTTGGTTACGGTTTCTCCAACAGTGTGAAAACATCATGGCTAATGCTATATTTTATAATTCAGTGGGTTTGTATCGTTATATGTCATATGATAGTAAATTTTATCGTGGACTAATTGAAGATATACTAAAACCTAAGGGAAGTTTAGGTAAATTTATGCAAATTAGAGAATCCTTAGAACTTTATCCTAATGGCTGCTAAAGCGATTTTAACTCAAAACCTTGAGTTCTTTGAGCTGTTAAAGTATAACTCGATCGCTCAGAAAAAACATAGAAAAACTCCTTTTCTAAAACTGGTTAGAAATAAAGACGAATGTCTACCGATAGCACAGCACAATACTTGTATCATATTACAAGTCGATGAGTATTCGGAAAAGTGAACTTCTAGACTTCGACTCAGCGAACAAATAACATCATGGTCAATGCAAGACCCAGATTTTTCTGATTGTATATCGTAAGAAGAAGAAATCCTCTGTAGAGCAGTTTTAAACTAGAGCGTTACAGTTTCCTAGTACTTTTTACTATTCAGTAATCCTTTATTTATATTAACCCATGGTACAAAACCATTTACATGAATAAGCATAGTAATGCCTTCGAAAACAGTTCGGTTGTTATTTTCACTTGCCAACTTGATAATTAAATACTATGTTTGTAGTACGCAATTTTTCTTAGTGAACATTAAAGTTAATAACCAATTCATTCATATGCAATTATTTTGCCGAAATAATACAAGTTTGTTAGATATGAAACACACACAACAAAATCACATACCGCACATATCTTGATCTGCATTCGATTCTGTTATTCCTGATTGACTAGTTTCTTGTTTCATTGAACAAATTGGATTAATGGTAGATTTCATAGTTGAAATAGAATTATATTTATGAAGTTGATTATTCGATGGATAAAAATCTTCAAGTAATTGTTGTTTTTCCAATTTTAACGTCTCTATAATTTCCGTTGCATCATCTAAAGATTTTTGTGTTGAACTCAATTTCTCTCGTAGATAATTTCTCTCGTCACGTAATGATGCCCATTTTTCTCTCCAGCTAGCTGTACAATCTGACCACCATCTCATCGTTTTTTCAAGTTGAGTAGCACGTGAACGAGCCTAAAAAATCACAGTTTGAGTCCTAAAATATGTTTTTATACGTATATATATATATATATATATATATATATATATATATATATATATATATATATATATATATATATATATATATATATATATATAATGCGACAATACACATATATCACCATGGACTGATAGATTTGTCCAGTAATAAAAAATACATTTTTGAACCATTTTAAATCCCTAAACTGAAATCCTGTTCACATCACATCGAGAAATGCACTCCAAAGACCACTCAAGTCATTTCATTGACTTGAGCATTATGTGTATTATTTGCTAACAACAACAGCGATGATTTACCTGTTCATTCATTTTTGTAATTGAATTAAATTAGTTGATCACTATTTTCGACATTTATCTCGAATAAAATATCAAGATAAAAAATATTCCCCATCTATCGGCCAATCCAGATAATTGCCGTGAATGACCACAGTCGAGAAAGTAAAAAGATGTTCATAGTCTCTAATTTGAATACGAACTTGGATGCTGATTATCAAAACTAATAAGTCATTGTTTTGTTATTAAACATTGCTATGGTAAAATCAGATACATGACTGAGTAATAATAAAAATAGCAAAGATCTCAGGATTTTTCTAGAATAGTTAAATACTTATGGGTGAACAAAACGCCCTCACTATTCTTGCGTCCCTCTATATAAAATACTTTGGTCGATCAAAATGGTTTATATTTTATATAGATTCATATAAAGGAAATAAATTTGAATACTGAAAAGCGTTGATATTTTTTTGACTAGAACTTACCCATATATGATGTTTAAAATGAACAAAATATTTAAAACGTTTTTCAGTGTTAGATTATTAACTTTGATAATTGATTCATTGTCAAAATAATGTAGGAGTACATATAAAAATTACGTAGACTATTATTAAGGTTTTTCGATAGAAACATTTAGTTTAACGCTTCAAACGTCTTACAAAAAACATATTTTGAATACCTACTTCTTCCAGATCCTTGTCACGTTGTCTACATTCCGAAGTACAGGAACGTGGGTGAGATCGATTATTAATGCATCGAGAATGCTGATCAGCAACTCTCATCGGAATGCGTCTTTAACTACGTTCAATCGAATAACTCAGTGTAATATAATAACAATAAATCTTGTTACTGTATATGGCTGAAAAACAAAAAGAGATGAAATATTTTAAATTTCTTACAAACGGTTTAATGATAACATTCAATTATCTTTGGTATATTTAGGCGGTGGCGGAAATTATGTTCACCACGCAGTTTCCCTATCTAAAAATTTAGTCCTGAATATCAGTGACATCAGTAAATACAACAAATCAACGAAGACGAACACAAGTACATATAGTACTTGGGTAAATAATGAAATAGTTAACTGTAACATAAAGTGAGTATACTTTTATCGAAACGAAGTAAATGATATATGTTTGAACAAAACACTTGAAAACAAAACAGAATACGGATAATTCCGTTCATACGTGCACCTGTAAAAATCAATCAACTTAAAAGTTTATGAAAATTGGACTTAACGTTCTATATATATAGTGATATGCCTATTACTTAATACTATGTACTTAATGCAGCAAGAAACGGGTTAGTTTGGAATCATATGAATATGTATACATTTTTGTGTAAACTAACTAGTCGAGCTAAGAGTGAAACGTCATATTTATTCACAGTGAAAAACTGTTCTTGGTACTGCGCACATTTATATGTAGCCAAATCAATTAAAACCACTCAGCAAACCTCCACAAAAATTTTATCATAGTTCCAAAATAAACTTCTAATCGCTACACGTAACAGTGGTATCTATATGATCCCTACACTATATACGTCATAAACCTCATGATCTTGGAAAAATGGAGTAATTCAATTCTATTTTGACCAGTGTTGTATTCTATACCTCATATCCACTGTAATTCTTGCATATTATTCACACTATGCTTCATTATTTTTAATGTATTTTAGAGGACTTTATAACAAAGCTAAGATTAAAGGAGTTCATCTTCATCGTATCTCATCCAAAAATTAACTTGTGGAATTTTAAGAAACGAAAGTGTTCCCTGGAATATATTTCTTTTACAACTGAATATTTCATGAAATGTAAATATCGATAGTGATTTTCTTAAATTTAAAAACAAATAAACCAACTAAACAAGAATATGAACATGCAATTAAAAAACCGGAAGTTTAATATCCTAGTGCCTCTTAGCATCAAGTTGGTTTAACCTTTAATTAAAGTTTTCAGAAGATACTACCTCAAGAGACGGCCACCAATGGATAACTAAATATATGACATCGGGTCTAACAACGTTCGAAATCTTAGCATTGCAAAATACACTGCATTATTTCATAATAATTATCAACACATGACACCTTATTTCAGGGATTACTGAACCCCAGCACATCACAAAATATTACACGAAATTCACCGAAATGGATGTTTTCATGTTAAACATCGCCATTATTTTAAATGAACAGGTCGACATATTTAAAAGCTTTAAGTTAGTTTGGAATACAAAATGTTGATTATAACTATGAAATGAAATCTTCATCCATTTACAGATCAATTTAAACATTTTGAGTGAAATCTATTCATCGTTTATTTGTCTGTATATTATTTTTTATTCCTGACAAAGATTTAATTTTGGCTATTTTAAATATCTTGAACAATATTGATAGTCTAATATAATATGCCAACAAATCGTCTTAATAAACAATAAATTCTCTCGTGGTTTCTTTCTTTTCTACCAATATAAACAAATCATTTCCACTTGCATCGTTGATGCTAGAAAATACGATAATGATTCAAACGTCAAGAGCTATCGTTTCGTGAGAACTTAATAATGATCAGATCCGAAGACAGTAAAAAATGGTCTAAACCTCGCTTAACATCTTGGCAAACAAAATCCTACACTTTCACCCTGTAAATCAGTCCTGTCATGCACTTATCAACAACTGCCGTAAAACCATAATTTGCAGTACAAAAGGTCATTTCATATAACAAACATAATAAAAGATATGATACTCCCAACGTAAATTGAGTAATAATATTTATGATTTGAAAACACATAGAGAAGATACCAAGTAATTTAGTGCAATAAGACTAAAATTCCAGTTGAAAACTGCTGTATATGAGTAACATCTAAATGCACCTTTGTATATCTCTCAACGAATAAGATTCTCTGCTCAGCTATAGTGATGGTTTCTTATCTTATTGTTTTCTACGCAGTAAGCCTTGATAACAATTTGCGTCAGTATGGCGCTTTATGCATATTTTGAACAATGAATTTAAATAGTCTTCTACGGTAACCAAATAAAACTCGAGTAATATGCCGGTTTGAAGCGTGTGGTCTTTGCTTAAATAAGATATCTAAAAATACATATTGGGGCGTAAATGTATTGTATACTTAGAAGTTTCGACACATCGTGGCATATTTTATAAGCACGCATACTATTAAATTGCCTTTTATTTACAATGGCTCTGGTATGTACTGAGTTAAGCCTTCAACTATACGAAGACGGAAATCTTAAACTTATGAGTAAGCGTAATATTCTAGATTTCAGCACTTGCTTTAAAAAATTATCTTTATTGACTCAAAGTCTCCTGCAATTACTTTAATATCTGCTTTATCTACAATTTCTGTAGCAATTTCTAGCGAGTTCGTTGCACTTACCTATTAAACCATTTACATTCTGCATCACGTGAGATTTACAGTTTCCGAACGAACTACCGCCTTCAGACAGAAAGCAAACAGTAGTATTTATAGAATACATCATTCAATATAACAACACCAGATGTTGTGTCACACAGTGGGCTATTTAGTCAGAGCTTCCATCTAAGCCTCCCTCCCACCTCTGATGAGATTTAATTATGCAATCATCTCATTCAAGTCCGCAGATGAGACGGTGTGTCAAACAGTGACACCGTCCAATCCTAACTTATGGACGGTAGACATGAAAGCGAGTCATCAATTCTTGGAACCTGTTACCTGAAGCAATGATGTTCTCACCTCCAATTGACTTATTTAAGAGAATACTAGACACTCATACAAGCATACTAGAAAAAGAATAACATGGGCTGTAGACCTTATGTCTTAACTACACAAATCTGAAATAAATTATGTACATGAACTATTTGGTTTCAGATTCACTTGATACACAGCTCTTTAGCACAAGATTCAAAAAAGCAAGAACCTGAGGACAAAATTTTCATAAACATCACCAAATGATCTTCATAAATAACAGTGATAGAGGCGTATTTCTTCAATACATTATCGAAGTAAATCTATATTCAGAAACTTCTGTTCCTACTTAGATGATAGTCGAGCAGCTGTCAAAACAATATTTCAACGAAAGCTGGCGTTTATAAAGAATACGCTGATGAGTCAGTTGGCGTTACATCTCCATGATTTGGAAAAATGTATTAAATACAGCATTCGTGACTTTCATTCGATGTGTAAAATGTTTAGAAGAAAATCATTTACCATACTCTTCGAATGATACTTTGTGAGCTCTTATCTGCTTTAAGAACACAAAAATATTGTTCAATATTTGATTTCGACCATCGGCATGCATACGAATGTACATGCTGGCACTTTAGTAATGTTTTTGAAAACATGCCGCTATCAACCCTATGAATAGATTTATTTTCAATATAGTTCAGCCTTTAAAAGCTTTAACAAGCAGTACAAGATCATTTCACGACATATATATTCAATAAATAACACACTAACCCCACATCATTACGTAAAATATTCAAAATAGTACACAACGTCGAGGTAATACATTACTCAATACAAACAAATTGTGGATCACATAATACATATTAGCCTAAGTGATATCTGATGACCTGATGATCTTCGAAATATCGTCAGAAAAAATGTTGTAAGTTGGAGAAGGCTCACTATACATTCTTGAAAAATTTTAGATAATGAAACTGTCTAGTTAGCTTATACGGTTAATTCAATTACTTAATTTCTTTCACTTTTAAATAAGGCTAGCTTGTTTCCAGAAGTTGAATCAGCATAGTGTGAGAAAGTTTTCGATCCCAAGTGGCCACTGGTATATCCTTCTCAGTGCCCTGTTTCATCACAATTTTTCCTAATATTAAACGCTCATGTCTTTCAGTGCCGTGTGAGCCACTTTTGTGCAAGAATTATTATTATCAGTTTGAGGTGATCACACAATTAGCGGAAAGTTTTTGGATTTTCCGATTATAGACCACCAATATTGGTGGTGAACGCACTTCAGTAGAACGGGAAATATGCGACATCTTACACTTACATTGAATATGCATATCGTAGTTTGTGACTAGTTTGGATTACTCCGTAATGGTATCCATATAATTTGAATGTTTTGGTGACTGCAAAAAAACGAATGGAACTTTACCAGAATTATGAAGTTGCTTACAAGAGAGTACACACGCGAGGTATACAGAGCAAGAACACTGGAGAATGGACTATTCAATGGATTACAATTGATTAACACATTTTTGCTATCCTTGAAAAATTTTGTAGACTAGTTCAGTGTTTAGTGAGCGATCATTTGACAAAAGTATAGACGAACGATTTGTTTGAACATCAACATTACTGCACTGGCAGAGCCACTTCATTAGAAGTAGTAGTTGATCAGTTCGGAAACATCCATCATTTAATAGCTTCAAACTCAACTTTACAGCTTGTAACTCATCATGCTCAGCCAAGTGATATAAGATAGATAATAAGTCCTGCAAAATGAAACAAACTTACCTTGTGTTGTGTACTAAATTCTAACTCCAAACTGATTTTCTTAAACGGTTAAACAAACCTCACAGAATTTATGCTTTTTACCCCTCATGGAGGAACATAGGCTATCCACCGACTTTCTCCATCAAACCCTGTCCTGGAGAATCTATTCCGGTTGATTTTCATCCTTTCATGTCTGCCACCAGTTCTCAGCGCAATGTGTTAGTGGCCTTCCTTTTTTCCGTCTCCTTCCAAGATTTCGGATTTGTGGCTTACCTCGCGGTGGAGTTTGAGGATTTCCGTAACATCCATCAAACCTCTCATGCAAGTATTTTAAACCCATTGTG